TTCGTAATGCATCCGCGCACTTAATTTCGTTTTTCACACAAAATTTGATACAGGTTCTTTGATCAATTTTTTTGAATAGGTAAAAATCTAAGACGATCCAAAACACGTGCAAGCAAAGCAGCTGTCAACAATTAAACGAACATTCAAAATAGCCGAGCTTGTCGGCATAAGTGAGAGACATGAGTACCAACATAACGTCATAAAAAATTCGAAATTCGAATATACGTAACCCGCGAAAATTCAAAATTCGCGTTACTTTTTGAACACACCTCGTATACGCTATAGATAAATAAACAAAGTATAAAACAGCTGAGAACTATGCGCCGTCAAATTTTGCTTTTCTATATCTAAAATCACTTTCTAGGTCAGAATATATTCATAACTATGTAGTACAATCTATAATATAATTTCAAAGGTGCCATCATGACCAAATTTTGCAATAAAGCAGAATACTTTGAATACTTCGTTGAATAATTAAATTTTTGTCAAGAAATTCAAGTATTTAACCGGTTTCCGATTAGTTTACTGAGGTCTGATTATAGATTAAAGACTAAACTACTAAATAGTACAAGTATACGAGAGTGACTTTTTTTAATCATAAAATTTTAAATTGCGGATCAGAGTACTTAAAAGTTTCCCCAAATTATATTCGACGGGAGAAAGTTATGACTTTCTACAGGAATATTTATTTTAAGAATTGCAAGAGAACAAACAACAAAGGAAATTCTATGTCTACGTGATGGCATGGAAGCCACCTGGTAGCCTCAACACCAGCTTTGAGTGTAAAGAATAATAAGGAATAACGTGTGACCCAAGTAGCGGTACTTTTATCAATAGCCTTTTTTTTGTCAGATCACATGTGTGTCATGTGAAGCCATGCTATGTTTGTTCAGTATTGCTTAGCATTTCATCATTGAAAGACTTACGCTTGAACAATGTGAATAATCGTTCAACAAGCAACTGTTTGACGTAGTTTGTGGTCTGGTGGAATCATCGATGCATGCTGGTAAGAACGTAACCGTCAATGCCGACTGTTATCGCGTCATGATAACCGACTATTTTATCCCAGAAATTCAAGCTGATGATCTAGCCAACTTTTGGTTTCAACAACTCGACCTCACTTCTCAAACATCGCATCAACGGATTTATTGAGAGAACTTCTGTGAGCGGATAATTTCACGTTTTGGCAGGTCGATTGGTCACCAAAATCATGTGAAATCATACCGTTAGACTTTTTCTGTAGGCATATGAAAAGACGAAAGACTAAGCGGACAATCTCGCTGCGATTTAGGCCTTGGAGTAAAACATCATGCGTGTCATTCGCCTGTTACCAGTACAAAGGTTCGAACGAATCATCGGAACTTGGATTCAACGGATGGACTATCTAAGACGTAGCCGCGGCCATCATTTGAAACAGATAATCTTCAAAAAAGAAATGCCAAATAATGTTCTTTCGAATGAAACAAAACATTCTCCTTTAAATTTGAAGTATCCGTGTTTTTTTTTTTTTAAGTAGGGAACTATACAATGGATTACCCTTTATTTATACTATATACTAAAAAAGTTACACCGAAGCGATAATTCTTTTCATAAGTAAAAAAAATTACACACAAGAACATTTTTTCTGGCTGTTGCAAACTTCACGCCAAACTTTATATCGCCACTATAAACCCTAATATATTTTTTAAATTTTTCACTTTTTGCGTTCTATTTCAATAGGAATGCAGATGTACTTAGATACGCCCGTAAATAAAATTTAATATGTTGTTTATTTTTACCACAAATTTGTTTTTTAACATTTATTTTTGTTTCATGCTGCAGACGTTTCGCTATCACAGTTTGTGGTTAGATTTTCAGTGGATCTGCTTATGTCGTTCGCGATAATTTTGTTTATGGAAGCATTTGATTTTGTAATAACGCAAAAAATAAAATAAGAATCGGAAATTCTTATGAAACTGTTAAATTTTATTTAAAACGAAATTTGAGTTGAATTTATGCATACTAATATAAATTATGCGAAATAAGGGCGAGTGTGAGAAAGGATTGGTAATATTCGACATTAATGCAGATCGATTTTGCAAAAAATATAGGATGCAAAATTGCTTGATTATAATTATTTGACAGCTGTCAGACATTATTGGTTTTTTTTATGCAAACATTTTGAAATTTTTTTTGTTTTTATCTTAATGTTTTGTTTCCATTAGCACGTTAGTAACAGCATTTCTATAAAATTTAATTAAATTATTATAATATTTAATGTATTATATTTTCTATTAATTTTATTAAATAAAAACTTTTAAGCAGCCATTCTAAAATATTATGTATGCAACAACAAACATTTTTAAAGTTCAAGGATTGTTAGATTGAAAAATAAAATAATCACTAATTTATTTATACAATTTTTTTGATTGCGTTTTGACTGCACATGCGATAACTACGAGTATTATATTTAGCATTTGCGCACAAAACTTTTATAGATCGCTAGAGGCACTCTAACTTACTCAAATACTCACAAGTAGTACGATGGTGATTCGTGGAATCTCAAAGTGTTTAAAATATCTAGCTAGTGACTAGGCTTGGCGACTATATTTGACAGGCATAAAAGGAATTTCACGTGTACTAACAACGTATAAACAGACAAATATGGAAGAATTGAGTATATACCGATATCTGTTATGTTAAAAAAATATCAGAAAAACTGAATAAATTTTGTCATCTTAAGCGTTTAAGAAAGTGTGGACCGATTAATACGATTTTTATCACAGGATTATCTTATAAGGTTTCTGAATACACAGCAATCTAAATACGATTTGACATTGCATGAGATATTTTCTAGGAATTCTTGAAGCATTTGAAACTCAACTTGTGGTCGAGAGCATGATCAAAGCAATTGAATCAGAAACTCAGTGGCGAGAATAATCTGTAATACAAGTATTTAGTTCGACCATGTTATTTTGGTAATATTTTTCTAAGACAGATAGTGAGGCATGTGACATGTTTGGTCGGGTCCACGATTATATTTCAACTTGGCAATCTTATAAAATTTTGTATGAAAACATTACGTTAAGTGATTTAAGGGATTATAGGAGTATAAAAGAGATTCCCATCAGTCGTTATTCATTCGTTCCACATTGAAATCTCACAAAACTAAAACCCACTTAAACGAGATCCTGAATTCTAGCATACAATTTTTAAACATGTTGGAAGAAGGCATAGTCGCCTTAAATTACTGCATATATCACTTACATATTTCAAAAGTTTCAAAAAATTCTCCACGAGATGGTTGTTGTTATTTTCTGAACAGATAAAATTTGCCACGAAGTTTATAACAGCCAGAAGGAAATGTCGGAACTCCCATAAAATACTCGCATATATTTAAATGATTAGCATGACTAACTGAGACCTAGTCCTTTAGTTTTTGAGATATTGAAGCCACTTTTTGGTTAGGACTGCCGATATTGGAAAACTGTAACATACATATAGCTTTTTTTATTCATCGAATAATTCTAAAAAGTTCTCCTGGTCCTTGAACGGGGCTGACGTGGGAACGATGATGAAAAAAATTTCGAATTAATCAAAATTGCCTCGTATAAATGCTAATTACGCATTTTCTGTTTTTTTATTTGATTTTTATAGTTCCCGCCAACGGCAGTTGAATTAAATATGAATTTTATAAACTATGTTCATGAAAAGCTACACTGCAACAGCTATCAATTTAATCTTGCTGACCAAACAGTAAATTTGGATTTATAACTCATTTCCGCTGGCCACCTGTTCTTGCAAAGCGGCATTCCAAAGGCGTTCAGCTTCATTAAATACGGAGGCGTCATGGAATGTAGTGCAGAAGACCTCTGATTTAACGGTAAAGTGTTTATACGCGTTTCTAAATATTCTTCCGAACTATGATATATAGTCATTCGCTTAAAATTTATAAATTAAGTTGTGCATAACAACTTTTATTTCTTATATTGTTGCATTCCTTTAGCGTATCAAGAAAAACAAGTTCAGTAAATTTGTTTTCGGAGTCTTATTTCACACGGTTTTCTGCTTTCTCTGCAGTTAATGCACACAACGGCAGCAGTGTCATCAGATATCGGCATAGCAAAATCGCTGTGTTATGCAGCAACTATGCACTAATATTTGCATATGAATATAGATACATACTTATATGTGTATATATATGTAAACTACAATAGATGTATAATAATGCTTAATGTGGCTGTACGGCTCCGGGCAATTCAAGTTATTTGAAATGGTTCTTCGTAGAAGTTTAGTGCGGCTAATCCAAACATCTAAGCTACTACTCTTAACTTTTGAAAAACCAAAGCTACTTTTATTTCCCTTAATATACATATATACAAATACAGAAAAAAGATTAAGCGAAGATATAATACGTCTGACAAATGCATTTCTTAAGCAACTGCATTTATGAATGTCCGCCAACAGTTTGTATCCAACGAAAACATTTTGCTAGACCTTTCTAAGCTTTATTTCGAAAGATACCTCTATACTATATATGTGACCTGGTCTACGAAAAGGGAGCTAACGTGCGAAAACTAGTTTATGACTTTTTGGATTCTATCACGTGAAAAAGCATCTCGTCTTCCATCCGAATCAACTAAGATTTTTTGACACCTAAGCCCCCTTTCCGTAGAACAGGTCACATATATGCATTAGTGATTCGACTTGAAAAATTTGTTCGGAAATTGTAGCGTTGACTTGGACAACAATCCATTCCAAATTTCGTGAAGATAGTGTGTCAAATATAGAGATTTTCCATATAACGACTTTATTTTGATCGATAAAGTATGGCAGCTATATCATATAGTGATTCTCTATTGGCCGGTTATTGCAAAATCCATGGCAATTGAGCATAAAGTCAACCAGAAAAATAATTAAAATGTTTTCAAAGTAACCCTTCCTAAGTATACTGCGTTCGTGTGGTATCAACAAGTTATACTTCATAAAAACAAAAATTTACATATTTAATAACAACTTACCTTTAAATCATTCTATTGCTATAAAGTGCATTTACTAGGTCCGAACTAATGCGCGAAATTTATGGAGATGGCAGACAGAGAGCCTGAGTTTACTTGAGGCTTAAAAGCTTCCTTGTGAGCTGCTGATTAAACGGCAGTTATAAATCCAGAGAACAGACCCAATTCGAATAGCTAAAAACAAAATAAAACAAATAGCGTTAATATAATGTATTAAAATTGAAGTAGTTAGAGTTATGAAATATAACTCTTGTTCAATTTTGACTCTAGAGTTTTAAAAAATTAACAGCAATGCACTAGAAAGTTAGCTCAAAGGAAACTTTGATACTGAGTAGCCTTTCCATTACCAATATTTATCTAAATATTATACTGAGACTTAATTCCTATTATACGTTAAAAGTTATCCAGATGAAGTTCCTATTACATAAAGAGAGATAACTATTTAAGCTTTTTATCAGATATTGAGACTGATGAGTTTGAAGAACTGCACTAACCTTACTGTATTACCGAACTAGCATTAGACCTGATTAGATTTCTTGCGAAACATCTGATTAGGTTCTTGTGATGAAGCTAAATATTTTGCCTGATTCTCTCTGACTAGAAAACGCGAGGTAAGATCAACTGCACCTCTCTTCATTGATAGTTTTGAGACGAAGCAATTTGGGGAACTATCCAGAAATTACCGAAATTAGTAGATTTTTAGTTGGTTAAGAATATTTTGAAGATTATTGGATAAAGTCTTTCTATGTTGATTGCGAGTGATCACCAGCAAAATCATGAAAAAACGCAAACTTCTTTATCTTGATTTTGATATATTTAGTTTATAGGGTTACCGATCTCTTTTTTCACAGTTATCAGTTTAAATTGTTCACTTATTAAAATTAATTAGCGACATATAATTAACAATACAAATAAATACAGTTAACAAGAATATCATAACATAATATGGCGACAACCTAATGTATTTACCGAAAGACACCAAAACCTGCACTACCTCTCTCAAAGTAGTACGATTGTAAGTTTGCAAATAAATAGGTTCAGCACTTGAATCGTTACATTACATTAAAAATTTGCCAATTCACTTGAAAGTAAATATTTACATAGAGACTTGCATACCTATATTTATGAATATTGTCAATAGCCGAGTGGTAAAGCACTCAGACGACGCCTCACTTATCTCCATAAATACTTGGATATGCATTTCGGAACTGCATTTTATTATTTATTTGTCAAGCGCAAATAAATAAATAATAAATGTTATGGGTAGTTACGTATGTAGATAGATAGGTAACAGATAGCTACTAACATTTTTTTTTTCTTTTGACGTAAAACTTTTCTTCCTTAATACTCGTAAATAGCACTTAAGTTAGGGGAAAAGGTCGATGTGGGCGATTAACTTTTTGAATTAGACAAAGTGCTTTGAGCTAGTCACAATTTTATTCAGGTGGCCGAAAAGATTTTTAGCTTTACCATTCGTATGCCTTTTGGACGATGTGTGCTAAAAACTCATACAACTAACGGCGGCAAGATGAAGCTTGCTAAGAGCTTGTAGTTCAGAGAATTTCCTACATTTTATTCTAGGCCAGAGGGATCCCGCAGTTTCGCAGGACTACTTCTAACTTCAACCTTCAATTTCAACTTTAACTATAACTTTAAATTTAACTCATTAGGTTCGGGAAAATTGAGACTAAAAATACATATTAAACAAGTATTTTTCGAAGAATCCTCTTTCAATCTACACGTTTAAAGACTAATTTTTGTCGCGATATAGCTGATGAGAAAAATGGTAATGTTACAAAATTATGTCAAACATAGTCGTTCTGAAAAGTTATCGAAAAGCTTTGTAGAAACGAGTCAACATCTTTCAAGAGAAGTAAAAACAAAAAATAATAGTACAATTTTTTGCCAAAGATTAAACATTCTGGAAAGTTATCGAAAAACTTTTAATTTACACTTATTGCGAGCTCTGAAAACTGTATAACTAAATAATAAGTTCTCCAAATTATGACAGTTAGTTTCAATTCTTTACATTTCACATATTATAGAAAAGAGTTGCCAATTGCTAGAATTTTAGTTCAAAAAAATGGAAACGAAAATAATGTTAAAAATGTATTCCCAAACAAAAGCGAAAAACAAAATTCGAAAAAGTTATCAAAGGGTTTTTAATTTCAAACATTCCAGAATAGAGTTGCCACCTCTACTTTAGAAAAATAAAAATTTTGAAATGTTTGCAAAATATTATCGAAAATTTTAGAATAGAGTTGCCCCTTTTAAGAAAAAGGACAAGAAAATGATATTATAAATGTATGGCAAGCATAAAGCGTTCGGCAAAGTTATCTCAAAACTTAAATTTACACATATTACTAAATAATGCTGCCATATCTGTAAAAAAGGTACTACTTAAAAAAATATTAAAAATTTCTGTCAACTAGAAAGCGTTGGGAACAAAAATCAAAATATTTTGAATTTTTAAATATTGAAAAATAGACTTTCCACTTTTATTAAAATATCATAATTTGAAAAATAAATTACAAATTTATGCCAAAAGGTATGAAAAAGCTTTTAATTTACAAATATTGGAGAATAGAGTTGCCAACTTTCAAAAAATATAGCTAGAAAATTATATTACATTATAGTGGAATAGAGTTCATAGCTCTAAAGAAAAATGAAACTAAATATAAAAAAAATTAAGTTTTTAAATCTCCACTTTTAGCAATACATTTATGACTCAAATGTATCAAATATTATAAAAAACAAATTCATTATATGCACGTTCTACATGCTTGTAAATTTTCGCGTTTGCTATTTAAATTCATGAGAAATTACGTTTAATTTTAGTAGAAACATACTTATGTCTTTTTTTTTTTTTTGCAAAACTGCATATACTAATATATTTTTATGGCATCCCATTTAAGTATACACACAAATTTATTCTGACAAATATGAGTATTTGCGTATTATAATTACTTCTTTCCAGACATAACAAAGTGCTCATAAAACGTCAGTCAAGAGCGTAACCGGAGCCGGCGTACCGAATAGGTACCAGGAAGTCGCAAAATACTGTCAGGTGAGTTGGCGTACAGACTGCAACTGCAACTGCGTTTCGAAATATTTTCATTACCGTCAGCATAAGGTATTTTTTTGCGATAAACATTTTTATTTCATAGTAACACAAACAATATAAAAACATTTATATTGTGAGCTTGGAACCGTTGCTGCACTTTTCATGCTAGATTTATTATCGGAATGCCCAGAACAACACGTTTTAATGGCGACATATATTTCTTGTAGATTACAGCACGATTAGTAAAAATAGAATTCGTATTCATAAATGCATACATACATATGCACATACATACATACTTAAATACTTCAAACACGACACGGCAACATCTATATAAATACATCATTGTTATTTTTGAGAACGCAAGTCAATAAAATACATTTGTGCCATATCTGCATTCGCAACTCGAAATATCATAAAAGTAAATATTTTCTGCAATTGCTCATTCAAATAACGAAAGCTCCACTTTCCATATGCGATCACTACCGAATAAATCTTTTAAATCTCTTCAGACGATTTTAACCAAACAGACTGTTCTGAATTCAGGGTTGGTGACCTCATTGTGAAACTCATAGCTTTAGCGGTATTTGACTTTTCAGCAAATATCAAAAACCGTATTTCCCTTCTAACCGTTTATAACAAACTTCCGACTATGTTCTAATATTTGTAACCCTTGATCCTTTCAGACAACCAAACCAAATCAAAATTACAAATCTACCTCCTCACAAAACAAGAGCTCTGTCGGCATAAAATTAAACATCTTATTATTCGCAACTATCTTAGTTTCTGTCGTCGAAAAATAAATGAGTCCTTTCTAATATCTGACTGTACCGTACACGCTTAACCTAGTTAACCTATAAAAACTGATGGAATGAAAAGCTTTGCGATATTATCATAGAGTTTGAATTAATGTAGATAATTGAGAACGTTATGATCATCCCACATACCCTTTATCCTTAACAAAAGATAAACTGTTGAGATATCTTATACACAAATTACCATATTCAAAGAGGATCGAGTACGTATTGATGATGAACTACGTCCAGGATGGCCATCAAGATCAACTAATGATCAAAACGTCAGTAAAATAAAGATATTGGTGCCTGAGAATCGACGTTTAACAGTCGGAGATCTTACTGGCATCGTTAGAATATCGGAAGAGTCAGTGAAAACCATTTTGAATTTGACCATTTGGGCCTAAAAAAAGTGAAATCACGATTGGTTCCAAAATCATTAATTTTTTTCGAAAAACAGCCTCAAGTTAAGGTCTGTGAAACAATGCATTCCGACTACCAGGATATCATGAATCGTATTTTTATTTGCGATGAGTCTTGAATCCCGGAAACGGACTTTCAGTCGGAAGAATATCGTGGCAAAGGTGTGCTGAAGCCGAAAACACCACATTAGATCAGGTCAAAAATCGAGGTTATGTTGACAGTATTCTTCGATTATCGAGGTGGACCGGTCAAAATGTCAACAAAGAATACTATTTGAATATCACGCGTCGCTTGTGCAAAGCTATTCGTAAAAAGAACACGGAATGATTGGCCGAAAACCTTTGACTTTTGCACCACGATAGTGCACCGTCACATACTGCATTGACTCTTCTTGAGTTTTTCGCCAAATTTTCAACCAATATCGTGCCGCAAACACCGTATTCGCCATTTTAACTCCGCGTGACTTTTACCTATTCAGCAAAGTCAAACGACCGCTCGTGGGAAACCGTTTTAAGTCAATTGAAGACATTGAACATGAATCGCTAAGCCCATTGAGAGCTATTCTGGAAATTGACTTTAATAACTGTTTAAAGGATTGTAAAAACGTTGGCACAAGTGCATTGAGGGACTACTCTAAGAGGATGTCATAGATTTGGAGAATAAATTAAGAATTTTAAAATTATGAACAAAGCCTTACTACTTTTTGCTCATATTAGTATATTAATATAAGAATGAATAGCGCGACGAGCTGTACGAGTCAAACTCAAGCGCTTCCTTTATCTAAGGTGCAATGGCAAAATATATCTTCTACAGAATTACTTACCTATGAGGCCCTATATATATATATATTTTATGAAGTCATTTATAATATTTAATGAGAGATAGTTTATTTG